CTACTTTGTCTTCTTTTATTCATGTATTTATCTATCTTTTAATTCTTTTACAAAAGAATTAATCACATAGTTTTCTCACTATGTTGTCTTCCAGGAATTTTATGTTTTCAGGTTTAACATTTAGGTCTTTGATCCATTTTGAGTTAGTTTTTGTGTATGGTGAGAGGTATGGATCTCATTTTATTCTCCTGCAGGTGTATATCCAGTTTTGCCAGCGTCATTTATTAAAGAAACTGTTTCTGCCCCACTGAATAGACTTTGATCCATCAAAGCATGGATTTTAATTGAGAAAAATTAGGAAGAAATTAAATGTTCAATAAATAGGGATGCGTTAATAAATAAATCATAGTAGCTCTATAAAGTGGAATACTAGGCAGCTGTTGAAAATAAAAGAGATAGAGCTGTGTGCATGGGTATGGAAAAAAAAATACCCTTTGGGGAAAAAAAAAAAAAAGAAAAAAATGCCCTTGATGTAACATTTAGTGTGTGTGTGTGGGGAGACTAAACTAGTATGAATGGAATGATTCTATTCATATAAAACAAACACATGTACACAAAACTATTAATACAATTACCTCTGAGGATAGGGGAGTCATGAGAAAATTTGTTCATTCTTAAGTTTTTAGAATTATGCTTGTTGTCATTAGGTGCTATCGAGTAGTTTCTGACTCATAGTGACCTTATGTACAACAGAATGAAGCACTGCCCTGTCGTGTGCCAGCCTCATGATCCCTGCTATACCTGAACCCATCAATGCAGCCCCTGTGTCAATCCATCTTGTCGAGGGCCTTCCCCTTTTTCACTGACCCTCCACTTTACCAAGCATGATATCCTTCTCCAGAGAATGGTCTCTTCTGACAACATGACTAAAGTAGTGAGATGAAGTCTGGCCAGTCTCACTTCCAAGGAGCATTCCGGCTGCACTTCTTCTAGGACAGATTGGTTTGTTCTTTTACCAGTCCATGGTATTTTCAGTATTCTTTGTCAACACCACAACTCAAAAGCATCAACTCTTCTTCAATCTTCCTTATTCACTGTCCAGCTCTCATATGCATACAAGGCAACTGAAAATACCATGGCTTGGGTTAGGCACACCTTAGCCTTCAAGGAGACATCGTTGCTCTTTAGCACTTGAAAGACGTCCTCTGCAGCATATTTGCCCAATGCAATACGTCTTCCGATGTCCTGACTGCTGCTTCCATTGGTGTTGATTATAGAACCAAGTAATATGAAGTCTTTGACAACTTCAATTTTTCCTTCATTTATTGTGGTGCTGCTTATTGGTCCAGTTCTGAGGATTTTTGTTTTCTTCATATTGAGATGTAATCCATACTGCAGAGTGCAGTCTTCAATCTTCATCACAAGTCATCCTCACTTTCAGCAAGCTAACTTGTGTCATCTGTGTATTGCAGGTTGCTAATGAGTCTTACCCCAATCCTGATGCCACATTCTTTTACATATATAGTCCAGCTTCTTGGATTATTTGCTCAGCATACAGTGAATATGGCAAAAGGATGCAATCCTGACACTCTCCCTTCTTGATTTTAAACCATGAAGTATCCCCTTGTTCCGTTCAAACAACAGCTTTCTGGTCTGTGTACAAGTTCCTCATGAGTACAATTAAGTGCTCTGGAATTCCCATTCTTCTCAACGATATACATAATTTGTTATGATCCCCACAATCGAATGCTTTTGCACAGTCAATAAAACACAAGTAAACGTTTTTCTGGTATTCTTTGCTTTCAGCCAAGATCCATCTGACATCAGCAGTGAAATCCCTCATTCTGCATCCTCCTCTTCAGAATCCAGCTTGCATTTTTGGAAGCTCTCTGTCAATATATTGCAGCAACTGTTTTGGAATTATCTTCAGTATGATTTTACTTGCATGTGATATTAATGGTATTATTCGATAATTTCCATATTCTGTGGGATCACCTTTCTTTCAAATGGGTACAAATATGGACCTCTTCCAGTTAGTTGGCCAGGCTGCTATCTTCCAAATCTCTTGGCATAGCCAAGTGAGTGCCTTCGGCGCAGCATCCATTTATTGAAACAGCTCAACAGGTATTTCGTCAATTCCTGGAGCCTTGTTTTTTGCCACTTCTTTCAGTGCAGCCTTGATCTCTTCCTTCAATATCACTGGTTCTTGATCATATGCCACCTCCTGAAATGGATGAACATCTACCGATTCCTTTTGGTACAGTGACTCTGTATATTCTTTCCATCTCCTTTTGATGTTTCCTGCATCATGCAATATTTTGCCCATAGAATCTTTTGATATTACAACTTGAGGCTTAAATTTTTTCTTCAGTTCTTTCAGCTTGAAAAATGCCAAATGTGTTTTTCCCTTTTGGTTTTCTAACTCCAGGTCTTTGCACATTTCATCATTAATAACTGACTTTGTCTTCTCGAGCTGCTCTTTAAAATCTTCCGTTTAGCTCTTTTATTGTGTCATTTCTTCCATTTGTTTTAGCTACTCTCTGCTCAAGGGCAAGTTTCTTTTGACATCCATTTTTCTTTTGGTCTTTTCTTCCTTTCCTGTCTTTTTAATGACCTTTTTACTTTCTTCATGGAAGATGTTCTTGTTGTCATTCCACAATTCCTCTGGTTTTTGGTGACTGGTGTTCAATGCATCAAATCTACTCTTTAGATGGTTCCTAAATTCAGGAGGGACAGATTCAAGGTCATTTTTAGCTCCTGTGGACTTCTTTTAATTGTCTTTAGCTTCAACTTGAACTTGCATATTAGCAGTTGGTGGTCTGTTCCACAACCAGCTCCTAGCCTTGTTTTGGCTGAAGACATTGAGCTTCTCCATGGCCTCTTGCCACAGATGTAGTCAATCTGATTCCTGTGTACTCCATGTTGCAGAGTTCATGTGTATAGCTGCTGAAAAAAGGTATTTGCAATGAGTAAGTTGTTGGTCTTGCAAAATTCTATCAGGCAATCTGCAGCATTATTTCTATCACCAAGGCCGTATTTTCCAACTACCAGTGATTCTTCTTTGTTTCCAACTTTTGCTTTCTGATCACCAGTGATAATTAACACATCTTGATTGCATGTTTGGTCAATTTCAGACTGCAGAAGTTGGTAAAAATCTTCAATTTCCTCATCTTTGGCTTTGGTGGTTGGTGCGTTAATTTGAATAATAATAGTATTAACTGGTCTTCCTTGTAGGTGTATGCATATGGTCCTATCACTGACAGCATTATACTTCAGGATACATTCTTTGTGATGATGAATGCCATGCCATTCCTCTTCAAATTGTCATTCCCAGCATAGTAATCATAAGATCGTCTGATTCAAAATGGCCAAAACCAGTCCATTTCAGCTCACTAATGCCTAGGATATTGATCTTTATGCATTCCATTTCCTTTTTTTACAACTTTCTATTTTCCTAGGTTCATAGTTTGTACATTCCATGTTCTGATTATTAATGGATGTTCGCAGTTGTTTCTTTTCATCTTGAGACATGTCACATCAGCAAATGGAGGTCCCAAAACCTCTACTCTATCCACATCATTAAGACTGGCTCTAATCTGAGGAGGCAGCTCTTCCCCAGATGCGCTCTGAGTGCCCTCCAACCTGAGGGGCTCATCCTCTGGCACTATATCAGACAATGTTTCACTGCTATTCATAAGGTTTTCATTGGACAATTCTCTGAGAAATGGATAGCCCCTTCCTTCTTCTGAGTCTGTCCCAGTCTGGAAGCTCTGCTGAAATCTGTCCACCACAGGTAACTCTGCTGGCATTTGAAACACCAGTGGTATAGTCTCCAGCAACATGCAAGCCACCACAGTATGACAAACTAATAGACAAGTTTGTCTCCCTTAGCTGTTCCAAACTGCTCTGCTCACTTCCTCCCTCAGCTGCTCCAGCACTTGCTTGCCTTGCCTGGCTCACTTACCCAGCCTGCCCCAGGAGCTCCAACAAACACCTGCCTGCCATACCCAGCTCTCTTACCCCTAGAATTATATATTGTTTGGAATTTTAACAGTAGCATGTGTTCTAAAAATCAACTCATTTAAAAAAACTAGATAATACTATAAAAGTGTGTGATAATTTTCATAGCTCAAAAACCGTATTATTTTCTAATAATTAATCTTTCTAAGTCTTGTTCTTGATATTGTTAGTTGTCACAGAATTGATTTTGACATCTTTGTTTGGCTTTTATAAATGTGAAATATATTTATTAGAGTTGTAAAGGGTAGAGAACCTATAGAGAAGCAGCTAAGAGCTAAAAGAGATAGGCTTTATTAGAGCCAACTATGACTCTGAGCAAACAGGACAAGGAAGCAGCCACACAAAAAATGGCCTTATTAGCTCTGTACCTTTTCAATTCTTTCTATTAGGCTTTTGTAGTTAGTAAGCGTACACAAGCTCCTTCCATAAGGAACTCATCCTGAAAGGATTCTGCAAATTACAGACCACCATCAGAGTGCTGATATATTAATAAACAACTCTGGTTCCCAAAATTGAAAATTATGATTCGAATGAGTAATTATAGAAAATAATATGCAAAAGATTTTGGCTTTCAAAAACAGATTCAAATTAGCAAATAATTCTACTAAACAGTGATTCTATAAAATGGATTCAATTATAGTTGACTTGTCTTTATCTAAGGAGCTCTGGTAGCACAGTGCCAAAGGCATTTAACTGCTAACCAGAAGGTTGGTGGTTCAGACCAACCAGCTGCTCCACAGAAGGAAGATGGGACAATCTACTTCCATAAAGATTTACTGCCGCAGAAACCCAACGGGGGTCTCTATAAGTTGGAATTGACTCGATAGCAGTGAGTTTGGTTTTGGTTTTGTCTTTATGTAAATGACCTCAAACACATAAAAAGGCAACACTGATTCACAATCATACTGAAAAACATATGGGATTTGACTATATCCTTTTCCTCTGCAAGCCTACTGATATAAGCAGCAGATGAAAGTATAGATCAATATTTACTTGATTGCATATAAATCACAGTGCAGTATGATTTCAGCATTACTCACCTTTCCAAAATATGATTATTTTCAGCGAGTTCTTTAACCACACCTTCCATCTCTTCCTTTAACTTCTTCATACTATACACATAAAATAAACAAATAAGCACCTCTCCTCAAAACAAGTACAGAAATATTTTAGAATTACGTATATTTATTTGATTTTCATACACTTTAGTTTTAGAGCAGTTTTAGGTTTACAGAAAAATTTCACAGAAAGAACAGAGTTCTCAAATACCTCTTGTCCCCCTGCACACTTTATATTGTTTTACTTCTCTGAATTTAACTAATTCATTTAATATTATCAAACACTGTACTCAGAGCAAACAAGGAATCTGAAAATATTAAGAGCAAAATCACCAATTGATAATAGCATTTGGAAACATTATAGTAACCAATTATAAGTTTCTTACCCAAGAGTCATTTCCACTAATGTGTTAGAACTTGGAAAAATTGGGGCCATGGTATGTTTGATTCCACTGGAGGCTGCAAACATTTTCTGAGGCAAAGTGTCTTGTAACTGAAATATCAAAAATCTACATCAGTCACAGAATACTTATTACAGATCTTATAACTGAATATTATAGATTTTGATAAGCCCAATACAGCTTCAAATTTTAATTTAAAAATCAGTAGGGATACAATACTTTATTTAATCAACATTAAAAAAAATTTTTTTAATAGATGATGAAAGAATAGTTTACTAGATACTTTGAGCTGTAAAACATCTAAATTTTAAAAATTTGGCTCAGAATACATAGCAAAAATGAGTTAGGAAACAGAATCTAGGCACATTATCTCCTATTTCTCCCTTCTCAAATATTATCAGGTATATATTGAGAATGTTGTTGTTGTTATGTGCCGTGGAGTCAGACCCAACTCACAGCAACCCCTCCTCCTTAGGTTTCTGAGGCAGTATCACTACGGAAAATAATTTTAGTTAATTTTTGCCTCAGGAGACAAAGGCTCTTTTTTTAGACCTAAAGATTTTTCAGAGTTGTACCTCATTAGTATAGTGCTGATACTTTGATACTTCTTCTTCAATATCAAAACACTGATTAGTTAGAGATAACAATTGTTTCCTTAGATGAAGCATCTTTCTGAAAATCAAAAAGAACTAATTAATGGGTAGTCCAGTGAAATATTCTTTCTTAAAATAGCACAAACATTAAACTGTATATTGCAGTCAACCTCCTCCCTTCCAAAACATGTTTATTTACCTCATCCATTCTTCAGATTTATCCAAAAATGCTTCATACTTTTTAACACATTCATCTGTAAAATGGGTCATAGCTTTTGTTGCATGATAATACAGTTTTTGCCTGAATTTAGAAACAATCAAAGAAGCATAAACTAGTTTCAGTCTACTTCCAATATTAAAAATGTTTCAATTATATGAAATTTATCTTTTTGTATAGTGATTATTGTAGCTTTAGGAGTACAAGCAGTCCCTGGGTCATGAAAGAGATTCATTCCTAAGTATGTCCTTATGTCAAATTTGTAGGTAAGTTGGAACAGGTGCAAACAGTTCTTATTTAGCTTTACTTTAGTGCAAGAAAAGGCTCAAAGCCTTTTCAGTGATTTTAAAGCTGCCCTTGCAGTAAGTCAAGGTGACTGTGAGGAAGAATTTGTTGCCAGTAGGGGTGGTTTGGGAGCTCTGGTTAGTGCCTAAGGCATTTGACTGCTAACCAGAAGGCTGGTGATTCAAACCCACCAGCCACTCCTCAGAAGGAAGGTTGGACAATCTACCCCCCGTAGTGATACCACCTCAGAAACCCAAGGAGGGGTCACCATGAGTTGGATCCAACTGGATGGCAGTGAGTAGAGGGGTGGTTCAATCGTTTCAAAGTCAGGGCAAATTTACATAATATTAAAGGGCAAGTAGGAGCTGTTAGTAAGTAGGATGATGGTAATCCACAGACTGCCTGTATTTAGAGTAGATAGTAAAGGTTTCTAAATAGACCTTATAGCAGCAAAAAGAGAAAGGTTCAAAACGAAAGTGTTCAAAAAAATATTATCAAATGAGGATAAGGGTAAGAAGGTCGTTAAATCTGTTTCCCTGTCTTCTCCATTATCTGTCCTCTGTAATCAGAACATACGAAGCAGAAGACTGAGTGGAATGATTTTACCCCCGACCCCCACCCTTTTCCTGTCTAGGCAGCCTCCCAACCAGGGATCAGATGGTGCAATATGATGAGGGTCTCAAAAATATGCACACATAGTTCCAATTTTGTAAAGTCAAGATTTAAAAAGGTAATTTTTATTGCAATTAATTTCAACTTTGAGAAGTGCATTAGTAAGATAACCAGAAAAGCAAACCAAATGCACTGCCACCAGGATGATTTCAACTCATAGTAACACCCACTGGGTTTCCAAGGCAGACTGCCTCATCTTTCTTCTGTGGAGAGGCTGGTGGGTTTGAAAAACTGACTTCTGGTCAGCATCCAAATGCCTTAACCACTACACCACCAGAGTTCCTTAAGATAAACAGAAGAGCACCTTAAAATTGTATTAAACATAATCAGAATACTTACTTATCAAATTTGTGAATTTGTTCTTCATTATAAGCTAGTCCTAGAATCAAGTAAAAAATATTACTTTTGCAAATGTAGAATCATAAAATCACAATGTATACTTCTTAATTTAAATTTTTTTTTTGCATGATTTATTTGTATATTTAGATTATTGATTCAAAAAAGCCTAAGAGTTTAAAACAGATGTCACAAACTTGTGGTCCACAGGATAATTTGGGTACAGATATTTTAACTTAGTTTGTACAATGATAACACTAAAAATAATGCCAACATTTTAAAACCAAGATATTTCTAGCAAAATCTGTATTTTTGCTTCTTTTAAGAAATAAGAAGATTGGGCAAGAAGTCAAGTGACCACGAGCAGTAGCTAAATCTAAGTAGAGGCTGTCCCCTTTAGATGGGGTACCTCTTCTCTTGTTCTTCTTACCCAATCTCATTCCTTTCTGTTAACTGTCTGGTCTCTAGAGAATTTGGAGTTCAAGAATCCTAATTTAAATTATTTTTAAAATATTCGAAATGTCTGTTTTAAGAATAATTTTTAGTAGACTCAATCTCTTTCCTGAAGGAATCACATCTCTGAAATAAATACCGTAAGTAGTCACCCTTACAAATATAACAAATTAGCTAGCTCAACTGAATTAATTAAACAAATGGCAAATTTTACTTACTACGTTCTGCTTTGTCTTTTTTGAACTGATAGTATATCTCTGTGATGCAATTTAACAGGACTTGTAGTTTTTCTATACTATTTAAGGAAGAAAAATCCAAATAAATTAACTGAATCAATGTGAAAAAGGACATTTAATAATTAAAGCAGAAATACCAATAAAGGTATCACCTACTTTCTATCTTTTGAATGAGTGCCTTCTTGATGTGCCCATGTATCTGCCAGCAATCCACCTGGAGACAATCTGCTTTCGATATCCTTAAGACTAGTTTCTATTGTTCCCTGAGAACTGGAAAGCTAAATAAAACCAGTGAGTTCAGATGCAGATTGCCAAAAAATCATAAATGATAAATCACAATGTCAATGGAGTCTACAGTCTGGATCATATTTCTTTTTCATACATTACTTAAATTCAAAGTGAGTAATTATTTTCATATTTAAATGCAAGGATGGTTCCTTAAGTTGATGTCTATCAGGAGTTAGGCTGAAACTTCTTAACTTTTTTTGGGGGAAGAAATTCAGTCACATATCACACTTTATCAAACCTAAGACTCAATTCTAAAATGTATCATTATTTCACACACCACTAAGAAATAAAAAATATCCAATTAAGCTAAACATGCTTTCCACCATAAGACAAATCTCAGAAGTTAAAATGTGAAAAAAGTATATCTTTATAAATAATATGATAAAACATGGTAATAAAACATGGAACTAGTCCTATGACATTTTAGAAAACATTTTACACATTAAATATCCTTCTTAAAAAAGTACAAAATACTTTTAATCATTATATTAAGCTTCTATTTCCTTACCTGTGAAATATGATTAATATTTATTCTCACAGAGTTGTAGTAAATATTAACTAGGAGAACCAACATAAAACCATAAGCATGGTCCCAAGTACAAAATGTAGGTATCCAGTATTTGTTCTTTTGTTCTCTCTTTGTTTAGAGGACCAAAAAAAAAAAAAAAGTAACTCTTCTTAAAACAGAAAATGAAAATAAACTACATTAAATGTCCTGTGCAACTTAAGCTTAGTAACTTGCCGTCAATTCTGAACCTTTTGGCTAGTAGCTGAGCACTTAATTGTTTGTACCACAGGTTTACACTGCCACTAGCAACAGAAACTGCTCTTTTTAAAGAGCACACTCTTGTTAGCATTGGTATAATTTTTAAAGCATTATGAATTTGAAAGGCAAGAAGAATATCTTACTGTTATTAAAATACGCAATTTTCTATTATTGCGGTTGAACATTTTTCCCCCAAGTTTATTGACTAGATAATTTTTTTCCTCATTTGTGAATTATCTGCACATGTTCTTTATTCATTTATTTATTTCTGATTTAATGCCTTCCCTATCAATTTGTGAACAGACTTGATGGCAGTGAGTTTGGTTTTGGTTTCACCAATTTGTATGAACTACTTATATAACACATTTTGCCAATTTGCTTTGTTGTGCACATGCACAAGCACACGTGTGTGTAAAACACATATATGCAGCCTGAATCATCTCCTAAGATATCCCAAGGCTTTTCCCCTTAAACAATGAAAAGTAATCAGCATTAAACCTCATTAGGTTTCCAGCAGTTCTTGCAACATCAGCATTACTTCTGTTAGATCTTTGGGATTTAGTTATCTTTGCACTACAGTTTATGCTACCTGCTATCTTTAGCTACACTTGAAAGGGAAGCTAGTCATGTGCCATCTGTCTATTCTTAAAGACTAAAGGTACTTTAGAATAACCATGTCTCAACAAGTTTCCATAGCTGATTGTTTTAAATTTAAAATGTATTTCAAGTTTGCAGTATTTTTTTTCTTCCAAATCCAGGGCACATACATTTTACAGTGAGGATGAACATTAGTGCAGCCTTGTGTGGTCTTGGATAATTCTGCCAGGCTAATAGGCCTGGGGCTGGTTGATTCCTGTCTTTATTTTCACATAGAAAATTTAAAATTTTATATAGTCAAGTATGTTATCTTCCTTTTTATGGCCTCTTTTAACATTGATGTTTAGAATACGTTATGTATTACTTCAAAATACGGAAAATATTTTATGAACAAAATTATTTCTTGCAGCATAACAGAGAAGAGTGAAAAAAAGCAAACAATCCGAAAAACCAACAACAGGGGAATAGTAAGTACACTATAATAACTCTCTTGGCTGACATATTATGTCTATTAAAAAAAGTAGTACAAAAAACTTTCTATACTATAATGTTATACAAAAAATTAAAAATCAGATGTTCATAAAGTAATACAATCATTTAATATGTATGAAAGAAGAAGACTGTAAAACAGTGGTTCTCAAAATTTTAGCATCATCAGAATCATGTGGACAATTTATAAAAACACTTGCTGTTGTGACCCACCCCCAGGGTTCTGATTCAGCCGTAATTCTGAGGTGGGGTCAAGTACTTTGCATTTCTGTTAAGTTTCCATGTGGGGCTGAGAATGCTGGTCTAGGACACTGAACAAAACTTTGATAGTCATTTTTTGGGTTGTAGGCATATGTGACATTTTATCTACTTATAAATTTTACTTTTATGGTAGAAAAAAAATTTAAGATCTTCAACAGGAAAAGTCATAACATCTCAACAGGTTATGAAGTAAAACAATAAAATCTAGTGAAAAATAATTGGTCTGAAGTCAGAAACTATTGATTCATGATTGATTTTATGCTATTTAATCACTTCATGCTTCAATTTTCATAAGAAATCTAAGTCTCACATAAACATCATAAAAGTATGTGAGAAACACTTTGTGCTCTCCAAAGAAAACAATTTAATTCAAAGTGCTCCACTGAAGCGGGATACAAGTGTCCATTAAGCCTAGAAGCCAACAGATCAAAAGCAGAGAAAGAATACCAAACACTTACAATAAAACAGCTCCCATATTTATGTACACACAAATATTAGGGAAGGCTATTTCTTATTTCTCTGACTTTTAACAGGTTTATTATATCACAGTGTTTGTCAATGTTTTGACCATGATCTATAGAAAGAAATTCAAGTTTTAATTCTGTAACATTTAAATGTATATACATAACAGTAAAAAGTTTCATGAAGCAGTACTTTCCTTATTACATGTAATGCATTTTGGCATCTTCTATAGCTATTCTGGGAGCTCTGGTAGCATATGCCTAAGGCACTTGACTGCTAACCAGAAGGCTGGCAGTTCAAACCCACCAGCCACTCCTCGGAAGGAAGGCTGGGCAATCTACTTCCATAGTGATACTGCCTCGGCAACCCAAGGAGGGGTCGCTATGAGTCGGGTCCGACTCGACGGCACATAACAACAACAACAACATAGCTATTCTACTCCATTTTTAAAATAAATTGCTGATTACAATGCACTAAGTGTCAAAACCTACTAGTTATTCATGATTCATCAGAAGAACACTATTTTAGGAGATCTAACTACGAGGAAGGAAGCTCTGGTAGTGTAGTGCCTAAGGCACTTGACTGCTAACCAGAAGGCTGGCAGTTCATATCCACCAGCCACTCCTCGGAAGGAAGATGGGGCAATCTACTTCCGTAGTGATACTGCCTCGGAAACCCAAGGAGGGGTCGCTATGAGTCGGGTCTGACTTGATGGCACATAACACCACCACCACCAACTCCGAGGAAAAGAAGCAATTAAAAATCAGCCTAAATTGGAAAAGAAGAGGAAATAAACATCATAAAGTCATATTCACTGTATGAAAGAATACTTCAAATACCAAAAGCTCACATAATTATGTTGTTGTTGTTATGTGCTGTCAAGTTGGAGCCGACTCATAACGACCCCTCCTTGGGTTTCAGGGGTGGTATCACTACGGAAGTAGATTGCCCGATCTTCCTTCAGCACTTTAATTTATGTCACTTAATTATTACAACCACCTGTGAGATGAGCAGGGAAAGACACTGTCCATTTTCAAGGGAAAAAACCCGAGGCGGCAAAGAATTGTAAGCCTCACTTAAGTAGCCAGTCAGGGTCAGCTTGATAAGGAGCGGCAGAGCTGGGATTAGTAATTCAGCTCTCACAATACATAATTCCTTATATTACACTGTATTTCAACAATAGATGCAGAGACTACCTGAAAAGCTATTGTATTTTTCAGTAGAGACTTATGTCCTGAATTCTTTTTCTAGTTACAAAATTGCCCAAGGAACTCAAATATTTCTGTTCTTACTTTTTATTTTACAAAAGATCTGATAATTTCTAGACTTGTTTCTATGTCTAAGCAAACTTAAGCACTCTGCAAGTTAAATTACACTTATAAACTTGCTTTAGTTGCCACATTTAAGACAAACACATAACATGCTATATTATGCCAAGGATATCTAAATATATTAAGCAAAAATACAACAGCATTATAGATTTAAGAAAAGAGAAAAAGAGAAAGAGTTTGAAGTACAGCAGGCATTTAGAGGTATTTTAAAGAATTTTATGGCTATAAGGGTATTTAAGTTTGTAAGAAGTTCCTGAAGGTGGGAAAGGCTACTTTTTCTCTGGAGACCGTTAGCTGAATCATCTCTCTAGGAGATCTTAGATCTAATCTTGCCAGCGAAAGATCAGATTATGAGCCTATGATTTTTATAATTTTGTAAATACTTACTCTTAACAATTTGGTGTGTATATCTGAAATTTCACCTAGCTCTGCTGCTTCTAAGTTGATCTGCATCAACTTTTCATATCTGTATGAAAAATAAGTCAATTATAAGTAAAATAAAAAAATAAGTCAATAAAAAATTAAATGAGTATAATGAATATATAGATTTTAAAAGATGTTTTATATGTTATATTTGAGTTTTTATTATCATAGGCATTTTAAGAATAAAAAATTGATGCAAAGCTTATAAGCCACAATAGATTCCAAAAAACCTTTAAGTCTTCCTAAAGCAGGAACTTTAATATTCCTCTACTTATAATTTTGCAGATCAAGGGATAAAATGGAAAAGGCAAATTAATTTCAAACAGCTGTATGCCAGGATAATAGTAAAAATACTAGATTTCAGCATTTATTAATGGAGGTCAATAGTAAATACTGATTTCATTTATTATATTTCTTCTATAGTGCAAATAATATAACCTAAGAGGAGGGAAGTTTAAAATATTGTTTCAAGACATCCTCAGAGATAAGATTAATAAATCAGAGTAAACTAATTTAGTCATCAGTTGATGACTAAAGTTATGAAAATACCACGAAAAAGTATTTCCAGAATACCTCTTCCTTTGTGGATTACAGGTTTTATATTTTCTTATTCAGAGTTTCTGTTTTGCAAGGTAAACATGAGATGTTTTTACTGCAGATTACTTTTTCCTTCTTAAAGGGAAGGGGAAAAAAGCCAAACAGAGTGTTCATTTCTTACTGAGAAATGAAGTTTTTACTTTTGTGATGAAGTAACCACTGAGCTAAGGCTGCTCCTCATTGTAAATTTATAAATGATCACAGATTCTATAATTTAGTACAAACATTTCCACGAGCATAAACGGAACAGTTAATATCTTAACCATTACTAGTAAGGAAGTAATCTACTCACACTTTTACAGTTTTGTCAATATTTCTGATGCAGAAGTCCAATGTAATCACAACTTCTGTCTTTTTGTGAACAGCTTCATTATAGTCATCTTTAATTAATTCACTGAAAAATATTATTATTTCTATTAGTTCACTTAAGGAATTATTTATTTTCCTTTTTTCTATCACTAAGTACACTGCTATATTACCGTTGGAATACATTTTATAGTAACATTCTTGATATATTATGAAAGGCAACTCATACTTTTTGGGATTCTGGAGTATTAAAAACATTTCTATAACTTTTATACTTATCTGTTGTTGTTGTTATGTAGCATCCATAGCGACCCCTCCTTGGGTTTCCGAGGCAGTATCGCTACGGAAGTAAGTAGATTGCCCCATCTTCCTTCCGAGGAGTGGCTGATAGGTTTGAACCACCAGCCTTCTGGTTAGCAGTCAAGTGCCTTAGGTACTACGCTATCAGAGCTCCCTTATACTTATCTAGGGCACTTACAATTTAATAAATAATTACTATTTTTTAGATTCACAGTTTAGAAATCCAAGGAATTAAAATTATATTAAGAAAAAATATCTATAATCATGCAATTAAAAGTGTATAGCATTACATTTCACACTACCAGAATTAATCTTCACTATACATAGTACAGGAGCTCTGGTAGCATAGTGCCGAAGGCACTTAACTGCTAACAAGAAGGCTGGCGGTTCAAACCCACCAGCCACTCCTCAGAAGGACGGTTGGGCAATCCTACTTCTGTAGTGATACTGCCTCGAAAACCCAAGGAGGGGTCGCTATGAGTCGGGGCCGACTCGATGGCACATAACAACAACAACAACAACATACATAGTACAATGCTGTCAGAGTTATACTGTAAACCAACTTTGAAGAAGGGTGACATATATATTATATAGTTGAAACGTTTTTCGTTTGCACTGTTGTTGTTATGTGCTGTTGAGTTGGACCCAACTCATAGCGACCCCTCCTTGGGTTTCCAAGGCAGTATCAATACAGAAGCAGATTGCCTCATCTTCCTTCCGAGGAGTGGCTGGTGGGTTTGAACCACCAGCCTTCTAGTTAGCAGTCAAGTGCTTTAGGCACTATGCTACCAGAGCTCCCTTTGTTTGCACTAGGGGTCAACAAACTAAAGGCTGGGGCCAGTTTTTGCAGAGTCCATGAATTAAAATTGATATTTACATTTTTAAAGCTTATATAAACAAAACAAAGAATACTCATGAATTCTAAAATATTACCAACTCAGGTCTACACTAATGACTTATTTTTCTCATGACTTAATAATCAATAAAGCAAAAAAAAAAAAAAAAATCATGGATCAGTAACGACTTATTTTTCTCATGACTTAATAATAAAGCAAAAAAAAAAAAAATTATGGATGAGTGATCAGTAACTGGAATAGATAATAACAGCAAGAGAAAATGAAAGCTGTTAATAGCAATCCTGTGGAAATAAATAGGAGCTCTAGTGGCATAGTGCCTAAGGCATTTGACTGCTAACCAGAAGGCTGGTGGTTCAAACCCAGTAGCCACTCCTTGACAGGAAGATTGGCCAATCTACTTCTGTAGTGATACTGCCTCAAAAATTCAAGGGTAGGTTGCTATGAGTCGGATAGACTCAATGGCAATGAGTTTGGTTTGGTTTTTGATGGAAATATATAGAGCTGGTATTTTTATTTTCCCAGGAACTATTTACTAAAAATAAGAAGGCTTCTTAATGGGAACAGAAATGTACAGGGTTACAAACTAGATACATAGTCATACAGGACAATATTTTAAGAACAAATTTATGGGTTTCACATAAAGGGAACAGAAGAAAAAAAGAAGAACCTCATTATTTTCTCTTTTTAAAAGCAGCAGCAGAAGAACAAGAATGATAAAATGCTTCACATATGTTCTTGAAGGAAAGGATGGGTGTGAAGCGAGTATACATAAATTGTCACGAACATTAAAGCCTAAGGCACTATGACCAGTGAGGTGAGCCCAGAGGACACACGTGTTAGCATCTCTTAGCCAAAAGGCCTTCGATATGTGTATACAAAATTCAAAAGTTTCAAATGATGCTGTGTGGAACTAGAAATATGATTCTTGAAAGAAATTAATTTATTCTCCACTTTTATCAAATGGAAAGATGATGTTTATAGATCACAAAAGAAAAAGAAAAGGTCAAGGTCATATTCACCAACAAAACATTTCTTAAAGTCACTTTTGAGAGAGAACACTTAACTAGATGATCAATATTCTGACCTGTTGTTACATGATTTCGAGTGGGTTTGGACTCATAGCGACCCTATGTACAACAGAATGAAACATTGCCCAGTCTTGCGCCAGCCTCACAATCCTTGCCACACCTGAGCCCATTGTTGTAGCCACCGTGTCAATCCATCTCAGTGAGGGCCTTCACCTTTTTCACTGATCCTTCACTTTACCAAGCATGATATCCTTCTCCAAGGAATGGTTCCTTCTGACAACATGACCAAAGTAGAGGTGAGATGAAGTCTGGCCATTCTCACTTCCAAGGAGCATTCCAGCTGCATTTCTTCCAGGACAGATTTGTTAATTTCTTCTGGCGGTCCATGGTACTTTCAGCATTCTTCACCGTTACCACACCTTAAAAGCATCAACTCTTCATTCTTCCTTATTCATTGTCCAGCTTTCACACACATGAGGCGACTGAAAATACCCTGGCTTGGGTTAGGCACACTGGGGCAATCTACTTCCGTAGTGATACTGCCTCGGAAACCCAAGGAGGGGTCACTATGAGTCGAATCCAACTTGACAGCAGTGAGTGAGTGAGTCTTCAAGGAGACATCTTTGCTCTTCAGTATTCTAGAGAGGTCTTTTAAGCAGATTTGCCCAGTGCAATATGTCATCTGATGCCTTGGCTACTGCTTCTATTGGTGGTGATTGTGGTACCAAGTAATATGAAATCTTTAAAAACGTCAATCTTTTCTCCATTTATTGTGATGCTGCTTATTGATCTAGTTGTGACAATTTTCATTTTATATCGGGATGTGGTCCATACTGCAGACTTTAATCTTTAATTTTCATCACTAAGTGCTTTAAGTCATGCTCACTTTCAGCAAACAAGTGGTGCTGTCTACATATTACAAGTTGTTAATAAGTCTTCCTCCAATCCTGATGACACACTAATCTTCACACAGTCCAGCTTCCTGGATTATTTGCTCATCATATAGATTGAGTAAGTATGGTGAAAGGATACAACCCTTGCACACTCCCTTCCTGATTTTAAACAATGCAGTACCCTTGTTCTGTTTGAACAACAGCCTCCTGGTTTATGTACAGATTGCTGATGAGCAAATGAAGTGTTCTGGAATTCCAATTCTTCTCAATGTTATCCATAATTTGTTAAGATCCACACAATCGAATGCTTCTGTATAGTCAATAAAACACAAGTAAACATCTTTCTAGTATTCTTCACTTTCAGCCAAGATCGATCTGACATCAGCAGTGATATCCCTTGTTCCACGTCCTCTTCTGAATCCAGCTGGATTTCTGGAAGTTCTCTGTCAATATACTGCTGCAACCATTTTTGAATTAAATAGATGTTGTTGTGGTTAGGTGCCATCAAGTCAGTACCTACTCAGAGTAACCCTATGCACAACAGAAGGAAACACTGCCTGGTCCTGCACCATCCTCACAATCATAGCTATGCGTGAACCCACTGCTGCAGCCACTGTGTCAATACATGTCATTGAAGGTTTTTCCCTTTTTCACAGACCTATTTTACCAAGTGTGATAGCTTTATCCAGGGACTGGTCACTTCTGAAAACATGTCCAAACAAGTGATGAAGTCTGGCCATTCTCACTTCTAGGGAGCATTCCTGATTTACTCCTTCTAAGACAGATTTGTTTGTCCCTCAGCAAGGTTTTACTTACTTGTGATATTAATGATATTGTTCAATAATTTCCACATTCTGTGGGATCACCTTTCTTTGGAATGGTAGAAATATGGATCTTTTTCAGTCAGTTGTCTAGGTATCTGTCTTCCAAATCCTTTGGCATAATCAAATGAGAGCCTCCAGTGCAGCATGTTTGCTGAAACATCTCAATGGGTATTCCACCAATTTCTTCATCAATTCCTTCAGTGCAGCTTCAACTTCTTCCTTCAATACCACTGGTTCTTGATCATATGCCACCTCTTGAAATGGATGAACATGGACCAATTCTTTTTGGTACAGTGACTCTGTGTATTCCTTCCATCTTCTTTTGATATTTCCTGTATCATTCAATATTTTGCCCACAAAATTTTTCAATATTGCAACTTGAGGCTTGAATTTTTTCTTCAGTTCTTTCAGCTTCAGAAATGCTGAGCGTGTTCTTCTCTTTTGGTTTTCTAATTCCAGATCTTTGCACATTTCACTACAATAACTGACTCTGTCTTCTTGAGCTACTCTTTGAAATCTTCTGTTCAGCTTTTATCTTGCCATTTCTTTCATTTGCTTTAGCTATTGTCTGTTCAAGGGCAAGTTTGAGTCTCTTCGGACATCCATTTTGGTCTTTTCTTCCTTTCCTGTCTTTTTAATGACCTTCTGCTTTCTTCATGGATGATGTTTTTGGTGTAATCTCACAATTCCTCTGGTTTTCGGTCATTGGTGTTCAATGCATCTAATCTATTCTTTAGATGGTCTCTAAAATCAATGTCATAGTTTGGCTCTCCTGGACTTGTTTTAATTGTCCTCAGGTTCAACTTGAATTTGCATATGAGCAACTGATGGTCTGTTCCAGTCAGCTACTGGCCTTGTTTTGGCTGAAGATATTGAGCTCTTCCATTGCCTCTTTCCACAGGTGCAGTCTATCTGATTCCTTTGTACTCCACCTAGTGAAGTCCACTTGTATAGCTGCCATTTGTGTTGTTGAAAAAACTTATTTGCAATGAATAAGTCATTGGTCTTGCAAAATTCTATCATGTGATCCCCAATGCTATTTCTACCACCAAGGCCCTATTTTCCAACTACTAGTGATTCTTCTTTGTTTCCAACTTTTGTGTTCCAATCACCAGGTACTCAACAATTCTTGATTGTATATTTGGTCATTTTCAAATGAAGTTGGTAAAAATCTTCAATTTCCTCATCTTTGGCTTTGGTGTCTGGTGCATTAATTTGAGTAACAGTAGTTATTAACTGGTCTTCCTTATGGGCATATGGTTATTATCCTATCACTGACAGCACTGTATTTCAGGATAGATCTTGAAACATTCTTTGTGATGATGAATGCCATGCCATTCTTCTTCAATTTGTCATTCTTGGCATAGACGACACATGGTTGTCTGATTCAAAATGGCCAAAACCAGTCCATTTCAGCTCACTAATGCGTAGGATATCAATCTTTATGTGTTCCATTTCATTTCTGACAACTTCCAATTTTCCTAGATTTGTACTTTGTACATTCCATATTTTGATTATTAATGGATGTTTGCAGCTTTCTTCCCATTTTGAATCATGCCACATCAGCAAATGGAGGTCCTGAAAGCTTTACTCGATCTACATCATTAAGGATGGCTCTACCTTGAGGAGGTAGCTCTTCCTCAGTAGCATTTTGAGTGTCTTCTGACCCGAAAGGCTCATCTTCCTGCACTACACTGGACATTGTTTCATGGCTATTCATAATGCTTTCCAGTAATATATCAGACAGTGTTTCACTGTTATTCATAAGGTTTTTACGGGCCAATTCTTTGAGAAGTGGATGGCCCCTTTCTTCTTCTGAGCCTGGAAACTCCACAAAACCTGTCTACCATGGGTGATCCTGCTGGTATTTGAAATACTGGTAGCATAGCCTCCAGCCTCACAGCCACACACAAGCCACCACAGTATGACAAACTTGACATACAAGTGGTGAAATATTCTGACCTAGAAAACTATATTAAGTTATTTAGTTCAAAAATTAGCTTTTAAACAGCTTGTTAAGGTGAGTGGTGTACTCACTGTATGATGTGATATACATGAAATGTCTAGAATAGGCAAATCCAGCAGTAGAAAGTAGATGAAGCATAACTGGCTTTAGGCTTGGTGGTGGTGGTGGTGGTGGGGAAACGACCTGGAATGCTTGGAAGGGAAAGCGTGAACACTAAGAGGTACAGGATTTCTTTTCAAGGTAATGAAAATTTTCCAAAATTAGATAATGGTGAAGCTGTACAACCTCTGAACATATGAAAAATCTCTTTTCTTTTTTTTTGTACTTACACTTTATTATTATTTTTTTTTATTGTGGTTTGGGTATGTACTATATACTTTAAATGGATGAACCGAATATGCATATATATTTTATATGGGTGAATTGTATATGTATATCAATAACATTGCTAAAAAAAAAAAAAAAGTCAGTATATACTTCATTTGGGGAAAGATGGAAAATAAATAGGAAACAGAGGAGGATTATGAGAACTTAAAATCTAGAAAGAAGAACAGATTATACTGAATTACAACAATGCCAAAGCCTTCCAAGACAGAAAAATGACAACCAAGCTGAGCTCTTTAGAAAAGGAGCCCATGTGCCACCACACTGTATAGTGTAGTATATGTTTGTAAATTCGGATTCTATTTGTCCTGTTTCACAAGATTCTGAGGGAATCAAAATGAAAAAGCAGCTGCTAAAATATTTTACAAACTAATTGTGAAAGAAATGTATAAAAATAAAAATCCAACACCTGACCCTACTGAAAAGGTAAAGTGTCAGAGATGGTATGAGTATCAGCTACTCAGTGAGGTCTCTGTGAAGATTAAAAGATCCTTGGTGGCACAGTGGTTAAAGCGCTAGGCTGCTAACTGAAAGTTTGGTAATCTGAACCTACCAGCGGTTCTGCAGAAAGAGATGGCAGTCTGCTTCTGTAAAGATTACAGCCTTAGAAACCCTATGGGCAGTTCTACTCTGTCCTATAGGGTCACCGTGAGTTGGAATTGACTTGACAGCCATGACTTTGGTTTTTCTGGTTTTATGTGAAAATCAGTTTTCAATCTATTACTTACATCAGCCATCGTATTCCCTTCCGCATTAATTCCTGGTAAAGCAATAGGGTACTGGCGGTTCTACAGGCATAACATACAACCCCTGTTACTGCCTAGTGAAGAAATAGAAAAGGTCAGTATTTGGGTCTAATTGTAGTACAGTGTAAGAAAAACTTTTACACAAAAATTTTTAAGTTTATGCAGTTCTATCAGGTTAATTAAAAACATAATAAACCACTAATTTCAAGAAGCTAAGGATAGATACAGTGGCAATAAATATTTTATCCTTAACATTAATTAAACAGGCCCTGTCTCAACAGAATTTTTGTATGGCAAATTCAAGGAAGGGTAGGATGTAAACACACACACACACAAATAATTAAGATAGGAAAGAAAACAATTTAAATGAATAATGTCCTGTATAGCACAAGCATATAAAATGATACTTTATATTGCTTCCACTATTGATAATTTTAGTTCAGATTTTTACAAAGTAATCCAATTAAATACTAACCTTAGCCATACTAGCATCTCCATCTAAATCATAACGTGGATGCACTTTAGGGAGAGAAACTGAAATGTAAAATAAAATATGAAATTAAATACTTAAAATGAGAAAATAAATTTAGTAAGTTAACTTTACCTTTTATATAGCAAATAAGATTTCTAAGTCAAATATTACTGAAAAAACTCATTTTTGTATTTTTCATGTTAAGAAAACCAACTAGAAACAATAGTGTTCATTCGCTAACAAACTGACTGCAATATTTCTAGGTGGTTTCCTTTTTTAAAATATATTCTAACATAACAAGCTCAATACTTCTCTTCAAATCTAAATCAAATCTTAATGATCCAAACAGAAATTTAAAAATCTGGGTAATGTATTTTCCCCTGAGTAGAATTATTAATGTAAAAGATTCCAAAAATGGAGATCTAACTGCTCTTAGAATCCAAAGTCTGGCACAGTGGGCACACAAAAACTATTTGCTGAAATATGATTCTGATTGTTAGCAAAGTACTAAAAGTAGAACACTACAGTAAAATGCACAAAATGCTTCACCATTTAATGAAACAAAATATTTGAAGCCAAATTTTGTAGCTATGAGGCCTTTCAATTTCACTACTACTCTCTTTCAACTAGTTTATAAAATTAATAATTAATAATTATGAAAATTCTAATGTCATCACCAAACAACTTTATGAAGATCACAAACCTTTTTACAATCTCAGGATTATTTTTTACCAGCTAGTAGGACAAACAATGAGAAAAATTTCAACTTACTTTTTTCATATATTAATCCTATGGTGCTCAGAGGTTCCCGGCTTACTACGAAGATGGGATTTCCCTCAGTAGTTTTAGGGAAGTGTTGTGCCAGTCTTCCAGGTTCTAGAACTAAGCGACGTCCTTCATAGATAAGTTCTTGATTTGAAGAAATAATTTTGGTTTGTTTATACAGCAGTTCATGAAATACAGTAGCACTATATGGAAAAATCCAATAGGACAATATAATTGGGAATAGCTGAGACTTAAAAAGCCCCATCCCTTTTTTTTTTCCAATCATGAGTGCTACATTATCAATTTTGAAGTGTATTTCTAAGAGCATGTTTAGTCTATATATACACTACTTTGTTTGTAAATTAATGAAACTAAAAGTTCCGTACCACCTGTGTACAGAGCAATCAATTCTAAAATATTTCTTTATATTTGGATACTTGTACAATATAAAGTATTCTTAATATTTCATAATGAAGAGTCAACACAGCAGAGGTTATGACCTTGGAGTCAGACTGTTGCTGTTGTTGTTAGATATTGTCAAGTCAGCTCTGACTTATAATGACCCTAAAAATGAGAGGACGAAACACTGCCTGGTCCTGCACCATCCTCACAATCACTGCAAGGCTTGACCCTCTCATTGAGGGTCTTTTTCACCTGAGTTTAAATCCCAGTTCTTCCACTTATTTGCTGTATTACCTTACTTAACTTTTCTGTGCACAGAGGGAAGGAATGACAATAGTACTTCACAGAATTGTGAAGATTAAATAACAAATATGTAAAGAATTGAAACAGTACTTGAAACATTACTATTTAATGCTTATTAGACAAATTAATAAGACTTGGAATTTTAAAAATGATTCTCTGAGGGGAAAGTCAGATTCCCCTAAATACATCTATGAAATCAAAGAAATGTTTCAGCAGCAATGCCATCTAACGAAAAGCCTGGTCTGCCATAAGCCTCATGATTTGGATCAGCCTTAGGTAGGTTTTTTATGTTCAAGTATGCTTTTAAAATGAAAATAATGACAAATACCTAACATGAATATTTATTCAGGCCTATTATATACTAAAAGGAGCTCTGGTGGCATAGTGGACTTGACTGTTAACCAGAAGGTCTGCGGTTCAAACCCACCAGCTACTCTGCAGAAGGAAGACAGGGCAATCTACTTCCGTAAAGATTTACAGCTTCAGAAACCCAGTGGGGGTCCCTATGAGTCAGAAAAGACTCAATGAAAGTGAGTGTAGTTTTGGTTTTATCATATACCAAAATAAAGATAAATAATGTACTTTACATATTATTTTGTCTAATTGATTTTATATCTTAGTAAAGCACTAGCAAAAGTCTCTTTTAATGAGTTTTATGAGGTATCAGAACTGTTGTTTGAAATTCTGTCAAAACAGAAATTATGGCATATAGAATAGGTGTAATTTTTTTCTTTTTTAACATTTTGTTTTGAGACCATTATAGAGTCACATGCAGTTTTAAGAAACAATGCAGAGAAATACCATATACTCTTCACTTAGTTTCCCCCAATGAGAACTATGCACTATAGGTGCATAACTATAGTACAATATCACTCCCAGAATACTCAATGTGTGTGTGTATATGTGTAGGGGTATTTGGTTCTATGGGTAGATTTGTGGTAATATGCTTGCAAGTAAAACAAACCATTCCATATACATTTAGAACCCATTAATTATTTTTATGTCATATTTGCATAAAAATTATACTAATCCTAAATTTATGCTTTAATATTTTTATAAAGATACAATAGTACTCAAAACAAAACCACTCCATTTATTAGTAGATGCTACTTGTGGTTATGTGATTAAGTAATTTGAGATAAGGTACAGTAATGAAAATAGTATTATAAGCTTGTAGTTTAAAAATAAGCTAATATAACTGTAAATTTAAAAAAAAATAGAAAATAATCCTTTTAAATCAAAGACAAGTGAAGAGAAATATACTAAGAACAAAAACATAATTTCCTTACTGGGAAGTGGTTCCTTGTGGTAAAACTGAGGTGTCTTCCATTTCCTCTCCTAACTTATCAAGGTTTTCATTATATAACACGATGTTTTGATATAAGAAAATACAAAAGGTACTTACGTATTATAGCCATGAATATAAATCTTATGAGCTGTCATTTGTTGTAGCGAAAAAACATGAATTATCATTCGGTGAAGTATATCACTAGTTTCTGCAAAAAACTGATCAAAACCCCAACACTTTTCCTGATCTGCCTCAAGGATGTTTGCAAGAACAGGGGTAAGTAGAACTTGCAGACCCCTAAAATAATATTGAAAAAAATTACTAAAGAGTGAATGAAATAAAATATTACCAACACATAAGAGGAACTGTTATTACTATCATTAAATTAGATGAGTCAAAAATTTTAAAAATCTGCCAACTTTTCAGAAAGCCAGGTAACCGTGATTTAATATCACTTTCCATTGAATCAGTGGTTACAGCATTTTTGTTAACTTATCTTTTACTGATTATTTTCTTTGATTTCTTCCTGAGTTTCTTCACTTTTCAATCAAATTATAATATTGTACATACATGGCTATTTATGTGAAATTGGTTGATAAAAATCTTATGATCATAAGGATAAGAAATCATGGTTTGATTTCAGCATAAAGCGGGCTTTAATGTCTTTTTAATATGGCTCTCCAATATCTAATTTTGTATGCTGAATTTATATGCCTTTTTTAGTGTACTACTTTACGAAGTAAAATCAAAATAGTAATCTTGCAATCAACTGGCGCCAATTCAACAAGGAACAATTTTTGACTAATAAGCATTTTAAAAATATGAATGGAAGACCTCAATTCTTTCTCATGCTTTCACCAGAATTATACAGCATGCTCAAATATACTCCCAATTACAGATATTAAATCGTGTTAAAAAAAATTGACTAAGTAACAGAGAGTGGAAATAATTCCTTGTCAACAGTTACTAGATTTATATTTATTAAAGTATGTAGTGGGTATTTTTTATTTTTGCCTAATAGGTACCCATTCTTCCTCATGTTGGTAAAACAATCCACAGCTCCCCACTCTGTAACGCCATTCCCTGAGTGTGACATTGGCAGCCCATGGTTATTACAATTAATTGAAGGTGGTGGTAGTATAAGTTAGTCCAATGAGAATCAACCCAGAAATCTTTGCTAAAACTACTAGGAAAGAAAGTTTTTCTTTCCACAGGATTTTCAAAGCTGTAAAATTTGCATCTTGAAATGGCAGCAACCATCCTGTGGCTGCTAGGAAAGAGCCTGAATGACTAAGAAGAGAAATCAGAGAAAAGCAGATCTGAAAAATGGAAAGAGACCAAGTCTTAATGATACAGTCAGAGTCCTAGGATTCAGGTGAGCTGTGAATTTCTATTTCTAATCTATTTCCTTAATCTATTTCACTTAAGCCAGTAGAGTTAGATTTTCCATCCTGTTAAATGTTAAATTTCTATTCCTCAACACAATGAATTTCTCTTGGTAATTCTAGTTGTATGGCACAGTTTCTTTTTTCGAATTTTTTTTTTTTAATAAACAACAACAAAAAATACTATGTTAAAAGAATAATGGTTTTCAAATTATTCTAGCAGTAAAACTCTTGGTGTAAACAAATATTTACAAAACTCAATATATAAAACAAGTAACGTGTGATTACTTTGCTTAAATATTTATTTATATGTTCACAGTTATACAAAAAGCACTCACAACTTATTATAGATGGATATGTACACTGATGATTGTATAACCACCCCACTCAGGAAAAAACGGAAGTTAATTCAGGAAGCACAAATTCTGAATGCCAACAAGCATCTCGGGTGTATTTCCAGAGGGAAATCTAAAATAATTTACTTACTTTAAATTTATTTCACTTTAATTCTTCCTTAATGACAATAGATTTTTACCTGATAATATAATTATTCTGATACTGCCTACTAAAATAACAAAGACCCATATGAACCTTTGAGATGCTGAAAAAAGTACTAGAAAACTGCTATTTTCACCTTTTGAATAATTTGAACACTTTTCAAAAATGAAGATAATATTAAATTTCTTCAGTATTTGCTTTTTAGAATGCCAGTTGAGAAATCTACTCATTTCTATATCATTATTTATGGTCAGTTTAAAGGTCATTATAAAAGATACCAAGGTCCTGAGCTGAAATTAGGCAGAAGTTCTAAGACCAGATACTAGCAATCTCAAATAAGTATGTCCTTGTCATAAGAAAGATCTGGTAAAATTTATATAGATCAGAATAAATTTTTACCTCACCACAAAAGCAAAATTCACTCACAACATGCTTTAATAACATCTTTTTTTTAAAAAAAAAAAAAAAAGAAAAAAGCCCCCAAAACTCTATACTTTAATATTTGAATATCTGTGATTTTAGTCAACAAACATCAAAATGCAAAAAGAGAATTAGCTACACATACTTACCTAGATGGGAGCTCTGGTAGCATAGTGCCTAAGGCGCTTGACTGCTAACCAGAAGGCTGGTGGTTCAAACCCACCAGCCACTCCTCGGAAGGAAGGTTGGGCAATCCTACTTCCGTAGTGATACTGCCTCGGAAACCCAAGGAGGGGTTGCTATGAGTCGGGGCCGACTTGACGCACATAACAACAACAACAACAACAACACTTACCTAGATAGACTACAAGAGACAGGCATATCTCCACTCCAGTCAATTGGTCCATTTTCTGCTTTTTGTACTCCAGATATTGCACCAGAAGGCTTTCCAGTAATTATTTTATACCTTTGGAAGAATAACAGTGGAAAATAAGAGGTTCATAATGGCATGGCCTATTAATGGGCTTTACAAAAGTATTTCCTCAACTGCACCTACAATTATCTACTAGATGAAACTTTGTGATTGATGTTTACAGGATCCATGAAACAATCAAAATATTTTGAATCTGACTAAGTGAAGTAGAATAGTGGTTGTATGAATATTTTACAGATGCCATAATTAATTTTCATTTGGACTTGCAGAGTGCCATTTAATAGCATCTTGATGTTCACAACAAAAACATTAATTTTTTCACCTGAAAAAACAGAATAAACACAAAAAAGTTACATCACAGAATATCTATTGACCATGAAAAAAACAGAGCTTATCCCTCTTCCCATATTATCCAAAGGCACAGTCAACTGGACTATGAAATTATTGCAGAATGAACATCAGCAGTTTTAAAAGATACATACCACAATAACAGGAAGATTTTCTTTGCAAAATGAAAAAAATATGTACACATATAGAAACAGGTGCAGACACAAAAATTATGAGCCAAATTTAACTTGATTCCTGATGAAAGTGAGGAAAATAAAGATAAATTGAAGGCAGAGGTGGACGGGGAAGCAAAAAAGCACTATAATGATGTTAACAATTCAATGACAATAGTCCTTTCAGATTTTAGTACTTTCTTAACCAAGACTTAAAAGTAAGAAGGAAATAAGAGAGCTCCATACCTTCAAGGATACTTTTATCCAGATGAAAATGTAGAACAATACCGAAGAATGTCATTTAAGCTTAAAAATGCTATTTCTGACAGAGTATCTATGTTTAATGTCTAAACAAATGTGTTCCGAGCACACTGATCTACTTTTAAAAAAAGAACAAGCCAGTGCCACTGATTTGGACTTGTTTGCTGCTTTCTCAGAACACGTAGCCAAGATTTCTAACTTAAGAGTTTTTCAGAGAAGGAGAAAAACAATGTGAAAAATAAGTTGCTTTAGTGGTGATAGTTACAAACATGGTAAATGTGATAAACATCACTGAACTGTACACATAAAAATGACTGAAACAGCAAATTACTGTTACATATCTTCTGTTGCAAGGGAAAAAAAAAAGTTGCATTCACATGAAAGGGGTCCAACTACGGAGAAAAACGCAAGACTAATGCAAAAAAAAGAGAAGTGAATAGAACGAAATTTGCCAGAATTCTGGTAAGATCCATATATAAACACATTCATAATATGCAAATGCCACACTTGTCTGTCAGTTTGTCACACAGTGGCGGCTTACATATTGCTGTAAGGCTGGAGGCTATGCCGCCGTTATTTCAAATATCAGCATGGTCACCCATGGTGGACAGGTTTCAGGAGAGCTTGCAGACTAAGACAGACTTAGAAGAAGCAACAGGCCATCCACTTCTCAAAGAACTGGCCAGTGAAAACCTTATGAATAATAGTGAATTACTATCTGATATATTACTAGAAAACTTTATGAATAGTCTTGAAACATTGTTTGATATAGTGTCAGCACCACAAGTCCACAAAAGCCAAAGTATGACCTTGAGAATATCCCGCTTGAATTTGGAGACCATCTCAAAAACAGATTTGACACATTAAATACTAATGACCAAAGACTAGATGAGTTGTGGGATGACATCAAGGGCATCAACGTGAGATGATATCAAACATTAAGAAAGTAAAAGGTCATTAAAAAGCCAATAAAGAAAGAAAAAAACAAAATGATGTCAGAAGAGACTCAAACTTGCTCTTGAATGGAGAGTAGCTAAAGCGAATAGAAGAAATGGTTACATAAAAGAACTGAACAGAAGATTTCAAAAGGTGGCTCAAGAAGACAAAGTAAAGTATTATAATGAAATGTGCAAAGACCTGGAGTTAGAAAATCAAAAGGTAAAAAATGCACTCAAGTATTTTTCAAGCTGAAAGAACTGAAGAAAAAATTCAAGCCTCTAGCTGGAATACTGAAGGAGTCTATAGGCAAAATATTGAACAATGCAGGAAACATCAAAGCAGATAGATGGAATACAGTCATTGTACCAAAAGAACTAGTTGACATTCAACCATTTCAGGAGGTAGCATATGAACAAGAACTGATGGTACTGAAGGAAGAAGTCTTAGCTGCACTGAAGGCATTAGAGAAAAACAAGGCTTCAGGAACTGACAGAATACCAATTGAAGTATTTCAAAACATGGATGTAACACTGCAAGTTCTCACTCATTTATGCCAAGATATCTGGAAGACAGCTATCTGGCCAACCAACTGGAAGAGATCCATATTTGTGCCTATTCCAAAGAAAGGTGATTCAACAGAACGTGCAAAATATCAAATAATGTCATTAATATCACATGCAAGTAAAATTTTCCTGAAGATAGTACAAAAACGGTTGCAGCAGTACATCAATAGGGAACTGTCAGAAATTCGAGCCAGATTCAGAAGAGGGCATGGAACAAGGGATATTACTGATGGTGTCAGATGGATCCAAGCTAAAAGCAGAGAATACCAAGAAGATGTTTGCTGTGTTTTATTGACTATGCAAAGGCATTCAACTATGTCAATCATAACAAATTATGGATAACTTTGTGAAGAATGGGAATTACAGAACACTTAATCGTGCTCATGTGGAACCTGTACATAGACCAAGAGCGTACTGTGTAGTTTAAAATCAGGAAAGGTGTAGGTCAGGGTTGTATACTTTCACCATATTTATTCAATCTGTATGCTGAGCAAATAATTCAAGAAGCTTCAGTATATATGAAGAATGTGGTCAGGATTGGAAGAAGATTCATTAACATTCTGAAATATGCAGATGATACAACCATTCTTTTTTATATATAAATAACTTGTTATTATGATTTGGGTGCAAGTCTTCAGAGCAAATTGCTTTTCCATTCAACAGTACACATTTTGTTTTGTGACATTAACTTCAATCCCCACAATGTGACAGCACTCTTCCTGTTTCCTCCTGAGTAGGTGACTTTTAAGAACAGCCATTTATTTTCTCACAGTTTAGGAGGCTAGAAGCAGGGCTGCAGACCAGTTCATTCTGGACACAACCATTTTTGCTGAAATTAAAGGGGACTGGAAGCATTTACTGATGAAGATTAAAGATTATAGCCTTTAGTATAGATTAAATCTCAACAAAAAGGTAACAAATAACTTCACAACTGGACCAATAAATAACATCATGATAAATGGAGGAAAAACAGAAGTTGTCAAGGATTTTACTTTACCTGTCCATGGAGCAACAATCAAGAAATCAAATGATGTACTGTTTTTGGCATATATCTACTACAACCTACCACAGTGACAACTTTAATATGTTAAAAAGCAAAGAGGCCACTTTGATGACTAAGGTGTTCTTAACTGAAGCCATGGTATTTTTAATTGCCTTCTATGCATGCAAAAACTGGACAATGAATAAGGAAGACTGAAGAAGTATTGATGCATCTGAATTATGGTGTTGGTGAATATGAAACATACCATGGGCTGTCAGAAGAATAAATAAATCTGTCTTGAATGAAGTACATACAGCCAGAATGCTCCTTAGAAGCAAGGATGGCCAGACTCACCTCTCCTACTTTGGACATATTATCAGGAGAGACCAGTCTCTGGTAAAGGACATCATACTTGGTAAAGGGTCAGCGAAAAAGAGAAAGACCCTCAATGAGATGGAGTGACACCTAATTACAACAACACGCAGGTAAAAGCACGATTAACTGTTTGTTATTGTTGTTTGTCGCCATCCGGTTGATTTTGACTCATGGCAACCCTATGAAATGCTCTATAAGGTTTTCAAGGTTGTGACTTTTCAGAAGCAGATCACCATGCCTGCCCTCCAAAGAGCCTCTGGTTGGGTTCAAACCACCAACTTTTCAGCTAGTAGTTGTGTGCTTAACCAACTGTGCCACCTAAGAACTCTGATTAACTGTCAGGCACAATTTATTTTCATGGAGAAAAGCACAAATTGACTCTCTATCTTGGTTAATGAAGAGATTTCATGAAAAGGGCACTGCTATAAAGCAGGCTCAAGATGATGGTTTATCAACATCACTAGTACAGTTAACTGACGGCTTCTTTCCATGAGTATGTTCGTTGTCCTTATTACAAAACATTCAGATACCAGCTTTTAGCAATAGTCAGAAAGCCATCTCAACTTTTTTTTTAATTTTCTCAAAGCAGCAAAAGGAAAATAGACTTCTCCCTCACTTTTCTGAAATGAGATTAAGTAAAATTGTAATTTTAGACTTGTGTTTATTACTTCAAGTCACATTTGCTTATGAAAGGCAGAGGCAAGTATATAAAGGTTTGAGAGAACTGTCAAGGACTAAAAGACTTGGGCAGGTTAGACTGTCAGTAAGTTACTGTCCCAAACCATTCATTAAACTAAACAATGCTCATAACCTCATAATTTTATGCTTATGTAACTAGGCTGTTTCTCATGCAGTAAATACATTTACTAATTTTTTTTTCACAATAAAAAGAAATATTGGCTATGGATATATTCTATAAAAATTTCCTCATCTAAAAATCCATCTCTTTGTCTTTGTTATTTGGTTTATAATAAGTGATTTTATACACATAATTATCTTAAAAAATTATGGCAGCACATAAATGTACACTGTACTAGTGAAATGCATTCAGTCTCTGGCTTGAACCTGCAGCACTAGAAAAAAAAAATTAATATTACATTACTGCCAAGAAGGAGGGGGAAAGAAAAGCCAGGGGTTGACAGACTGAGCAGCGGCAGGAATCCAGGTAAGGGGAGGGACAAAGGCCCCACCACAAGAGGCAAGAAGTTGGAGAAAGAAAAGCCAGAGGGGGACAACAGACTGAGCAGTGGAAGGGATCAAGGTCAGGGGAGGGGCATAGGTTCCACCCTCAAGAGGAAGGAAGCAGGAGAAGAAAAGCCAGGGAACAACAGACAGAGCAGTGGCAGGGATCTAGGTAAAGGAAGGGGCAGAGGCCCCAGCCCAAGAGGCAGGAAGTGGGGCAAGAAAAGCTGGGGGATGACAGACCAAACAGCAGCACAGATCTAGGTAAGGGGAGGGTGGAGAGGGTTCAAACAGCTAAGGGAGACAAACTTGTCTGTTGGTTTGTAGTAATGTGGTGGCTTGCATGTTGCTGTGAGGTTTGAGGCTGTGCCACCTGTGTTTCAGATGCCAGTGGGATTGCACAAGGTGTACAGCTTACAGACTGAGACAAACTAGGAAGAGGGAAGAGGTCATCCACTTCTCAAAGAAATGGCCAGGGAAAACCTTATGAATAGCAGAGAAACGCTGATACATTACTGCTCAACTATATGAATAGCCCAGAAGCACTGTCTGATACAGTGCAGGAGGCTGAGCCCCTTAGGTCGGAAGGCTCTCAAAATACAACTGGGAAAGCGCTGCATCATCAGAGTAGAACCAACCTTACTGATATGGTTGACATAAAGCTTTCGAGACTGCCATCTGCTAATGTGGCACGACTCAAACTGAGGAGAAACAACTGCAAACATCCATTAATAATTGGAACATGGAATGCATGAAATATGAATCTAGGAAAACTGGAAGTTGTCAAAAATGAAATGGAACACATAAAGATCGATATCCTAGGCATTAGTGAGTTGAAAAGGAGCTCTGGTAGCATAGTGCCTAAGGCACTTGACTGCTAAC